ATAACCCTGACCCAGCCCCGTCAACTTGCGATGAACAATTCCTAACGATTCCCTTCTACTGCACTTCTGTGCACTCGGGGTCACACTCAGCTGGAGCGAAGGTGAGTCTCCACAGGAGACTGAACACCCCGGAACCCGCAGCCCAGAGTCACACCAGAGCTTGACCCCTAGCCAGCTGTGTGACTCTTAGGTAATCAATCACCCTCATCTCTGTTTCAGGCCCTCTTCTGGAAGAAGGGGGGTGAGAACAGAGTCTGCAAACAAGAAATACGATGGTGAGCAAGAAACAGCTCCTGCCCTTAAGAGCCTAATTAATAATTGGCAGGCCAGGCTGAAATACTGGCCACTAGTCATTCTCATTGACGTCAATATTTATTGATTGATTGTCTACGTCATGCAAAGGCCGCAGGTACAGTGGTTGGGGACTGGGAGGAGGACGTCTAAGGGACTTTTTTCCCCTGACCATTGGGTTAGTGTTTGGGCATGTTGACTAAGCTTGGCTTCTAGTATAAAATTTATCAGTATTTCATGGGTTACCTTGAAAACGAAAGCTGATATTTAAACAATAACTATTTATTGGATCAATCTCTAAAACAGCGGTTCTCAACCTGTGGGTCGCGACCCCTTTGGGGGTCGAACGACCCTTTCACAGGGGTCGCCTAAGACCATCGGAAAACACATATATAATTACATTACGATTCATAACAGTTGCAAAATTACAGTTATGAAGTAGCAACGAAAATAATTTTATGGTTGGGGGTCACCACAACATGAGGAACTGTATTAAAGGGTCGTGGCATTAGGAAGGTTGAGAACCACTGCTCTAAAAAGTAACCTCCTCCCAAGTGCCCAACCCCTTACTCTATCATTAAAACTGACCAGACACCAGTGCTATCCTAACTTCATACTTTCTTAAGAGAGGCAAATGGATGTTTACACAATAGAGGCTGTCCTTCCTCCCTTCCTCTTTCTAGTCCTAGTCCCAGGCCTTTCGAGTTCTCTGCAGGGTTCCTAAATCTTAACCCGCCCTCTAAACCTCTCTTAAAGGTGGCCACCCGCCCACAGTTCTTTGTATGAGGCACTTGCCAGTTGGTGTCTTTCTGGGTTTCCTCCTGGGCTCTCCTGCTGGTCTATGAGCTCTTGGAGGAAGTGGCCTATTTTATACTCTTGGCATCTGCCACAGCTCCTACCGCAGCTGCCCGGAGGAGCCATGCATTCAAAATCCACTGGTCACT